AAGGGGTAGATCCCTTCAGGGATGGATCCCTGCTGAGCACCAGCCAGTCGGCTGTGGAGAGCCGACACGGCGGCGACACTTCCACCAGACCAGAGCGGTGTCCGGCTACTGGGGTGGAAGAAAAATAAAAAGTAGGCGGGCGTGGATTCCCCAGTAGCTTGTGTATGTCTGCTACTTGCTTGCTAAGAGTAGCCACTTTGCCCCTGTAGTCTTCCGCAAGCAAGCAGTTGCTACATTGAAAGTCAGCGTGGTCCACATTGTCACAGAACAAAGCAAAGTAAACACAGCTCCTGCAGCGCTGGAAACGTTCAATAGCGACCTCCATTTGGGACCGCCGAGCCGGCTAGGCTAGCTGGGCTTCCGTGTCTCTCCCCTATGCAGAATCTGGCAGGATCCCGGGACAGACAGCAGCGCTCACAGCAACTAAGCCCAACAGAGCCGCAGGATCCAAAATAAAATAAAAGTATATCAAAACTAAATTTACAAGGAAACACTGTCAGCTTTACAAAAACAATCAACCGAGGTCTCTCGTTCAGCTTTCAGCATTCAATAACTTGAACCCAGACAGCTGTCAATTAATAAGGCTGATGGAACAGATCAGAATGTTTAGCTTAAAATGTTGATTAACTATAATTTTTTCACATTTAAAGCGCAGTAATGTGCACACGGCAGTAGGCCTACGCACAAATGTTCAAAAATGCAATTTGTGGAAAACACAATTCTAAAATGCGTACCGCACAAAGAAGCAGTTTCATGGACAGAGATGGCATTATCCATCAGAAATGTAAAAAGAGGGAAGATCTAAAGATGCAACAACTACAGTTGAAGTCAGAAATGTACATACACCTTAGCCAAATACATTTAAACTCAGTTTTTCACAATTCCTGACATTTAATTCTAGTAAAAATTCCCAGTCTTACGTCAGTTAGGATCACCACTTTATTTTAAGAATGTGAAATGTCAGAATAATAGTAGAGAGAATGATTTATTTCAGCTTTTATTTCTTTCATCACATTCCCAGTTGGTCAGAAGTTTACATACACTCAATTAGTATTTGGTAGCATTGCCTTTAAATTGTTTAACTTGGGTCAAACGTTTCGGGTAGCCTTCCAAATAGGCTACCCCAGGTTTGTAGGCCTCCTTGCTCGCACATGCTTTTTCAGTTCTGCCCACACATTTTCTATAAGATTGAGGTCAGGGCTTTGTGATGGCCACTCCAATACCTTGACTTTGTTGTCCTTAAGCCATTTTGCCACAACTTTGGAAGTATGCTTGGGGTCATTGTCCATTTGGAAGACCCATTTGCAACCGATCTTTAACTTCCTGACTGATGTCTTGAGATGTTGCTTCAATATATCCACATAATTTTCCTTCCTCATGATGCCATCTATTTTGTGAAGTGCACCAGCCCCTCCTGCAGCAAAGCACCCCCACAGCATGATGCTGCCACCCCCATGCTTCACGGTTGGGATGGTGTTCTTCGGCTTGCAACAACCTCCTAACTACTATTTCTTAGATTTGGTCTCAAAAGTGGTCTCGTGATGTGATTTAAGCATTGTTGTGGACTTAGAACATCCAATTTAGTTGTTTTTCCATTACAAAAGTGTGGCTTTGAGAGCAAAAAACAAAAAGAATTGTCAAAATCTGACTCAGTTGACAGCCTCATTTATCTATTTCAATAGTAGGCCTACTATTAGCTTACTTGCACAGTACAGCTTGGGTTAGCCTGTCAGTAAAGGACCAATATGCGATTTATCCAGTGTTGGGGAGATTAGTAATTTAACTTCATTTTGCAGTAGCTTGTTGGTAGTTGAACTAAATTCAAATCTAGGTAGTCTTTTCAGTAGTTAACTTTTTTTGGGCCATGTAGTGGTGTAGCTAACTACTGGAACTACACACTACAGTTCCTTGCAAAAGTTTTCATCCCCCATGGGGAAAAACGTCACAAAATTACCATTACATAGGATAAAGAAACAATACTCCGAGCCGCAGCGCCATACTACTTGTCAGACATAGAGAACTGATACTGTATACAGTGCCTTGCAAAAGTATTCATCCCCCTTGGCGTTTTTCCTATTTTGTTGCATTACAACCTGTAATTTAAATGGATTTTTATTTGGATTTCATGTAATAGACATAAACAAAATAGTCCAAATTGGTTAAAAATTCTAAAAAATAAATAACGGAAAAGTGGTGCGTGCATACAGTGGGGAAAAAAAGTATTTAGTCAGCCACCAATTGTGCAAGTTCTCCCACTTAAAAAGATGAGAGAGGCCTGTAATTTTCATCATAGGTACACGTCAACTGTGACAGACAAAATGAGAAAAACAATTCCAGAAAATCACATTGTAGGATTTTTCATGAATTTATTTCCAGATTATGGTGGAAAATAAGTATTTGGTCAATAACAAAAGTTTCTCAATACTTTGTTATATACCCTTTGTTGGCAATGACACAGGTCAAACGTTTTCTGTAAGTCTTCACAAGGTTTTCACACACTGTTGCTGGTATTTTGGCCCATTCCTCCATGCAGATCTCCTCTAGAGCAGTGATGTTTTGGGGCTGTCGCTGGGCAACACGGACTTTCAACTCCCTCCAAAGATTTTATATGGGGTTGAGATCTGGAGACTGGCTAGGCCACTCCAGGACCTTGAAATGCTTCTTACGAATCCACTCCTTCGTTGCCCGGGCGGTGTGTTTGGGATCATTGTCATGCTGAAAGACCCAGCCACGTTTCATCTTCAATGCCCTTGCTGATGGAAGGAGGTTTTCACTCAAAATCTCACGATACATGGCCCCATTCATTCTTTCCTTTACACGGATCAGTCGTCCTGGTCCCTTTGCAGAAAACAGCCCCAAAGCATGATGTTTCCACCCCCATGCTTCACAGTAGGTATGGTGTTCTTTGGATGCAACTCAGCATTCTTTGTCCTCCAAACACGACGAGTTGAGTTTTTACCAAAAAGTTCTATTTTGGTTTCATCTGACCATATAACATTCTCCCAATCCTCTTCTGGATCATCCAAATGCACTCTAGCAAACTTCAGACGGGCCTGGACATGTACTGGCTTAAGCAGGGGGACACGTCTGGCACTGCAGGATTTGAGTCCCTGGCGGCGTAGTGTGTTACTGATGGTAGGCTTTGTTACTTTGGTCCCAGCTCTCTGCAGGTCATTCACTAGGTCCCCCCGTGTGGTTCTGGGATTTTTGCTCACCGTTCTTGTGATCATTTTGACCCCACGGGGTGAGATCTTGCGTGGAGCCCCACATCGAGGGAGATTATCAGTGTTCTTGTATGTCTTCAATTTCCTAATAATTGCTCCCACAGTTGTTTTCTTCAAACCAAGCTGCTTACCTATTGCAGATTCAGTCTTCCCAGCCTGGTGCAGGTCTACAAATTTTTTTCTGGTGTCCTTTGACAGCTCTTTGGTCTTGGCCATAGTGGAGTTTGGAGTGTGACTGTTTGAGGTTGTGGACAGGTGTCTTTTATACTGATAACAAGTTCAAACAGGTGCCATTAATACAGGTAACGAGTGGAGGACAGAGGAGCCTCTTAAAGAAGAAGTTACAGGTCTGTGAGAGCCAGAAATATTGCTTGTTTGTAGGTGACCAAATACTTATTTTCCACCATAATTTGCAAATAAATTCATTAAAAATCCTACAATGTGATTTTCTGGAATTTCTTTTCTCAATTTGTCTGTCATAGTTGACGTGTACCTATGATGAAAATTACAGGCCTCTCTCATCTTTTTAAGTGGGAGAACTTGCACAATTGGTGGCTGACTAAATACTTTTTTTCCCCACTGTAGCTAGGCAGGTAGTAGGCAAACTAAAGTTTTTGTTGTGACCGTTGACTTTTTACTACTTTCCCTGGTTGGATTGACTAGCTAACACGGGTGAATTCATTACGCCGATTATTTGCCTGGCGTACTCCCTTAACTATCTACTACTAACCGCGGCTCTAACCCTAACCTTAACCCTTATCCTAACCCTAAACTTAACCCTTACCCTAACCCTATCCCTTACCGTAACCCTTATTCTAAACCAGCGTAACCCCAAATGCGGTCGTGGGGACCCCAAGGGGTGAACATTTTGTTTTTTGCCGAAGCACTACACAGCTGATTCAAATAATCAAAGCTTGATGATTAGTTGATTATTTGAATCAGCTGTGCTAGGGCAAAAAACAAAACGTGCACCCCTTGGGGTCCCCACGACCGAGTTTGGAAACGCTGGTCTAATCTAAACTAAGCCAGCTAAGCCAGGGAAAGTTAAGATAACGTTATATCTGAAATTTTAATGTGTGAGTAGAGAGTGTGTAGCTATACCTCCAGTGCGTATTGTGTGTAATAGGCTAAATAAATTATGTGGTGTGAAATTCAAATGTGTTTCTGAAATGACAGTGTAACATTTGCAGTATACTATTTTCTGTTTCAAATAATTAAAGACTTTGCACTACAGTACTTGTAACCTACAAATGGGCAGATAGGACGTTTGTTTACAGTAGTCTAATCCTAGACGCTTCTAACCTGTATTGAAATGTTTACCTAAATAATTAATACATCATCTTATTGATGAGTTTGACTAGTAACCAGATGCTGTATTGTAAAAAACATAATTAAGGACTCCCCTGTGGAGGGGGAGTAATGAAGCTGAACGAACATAGAGTGGCTCACTATGCCACCTGCGGCTCGCCGCCAGACAAGACGGGCTTCCTATTCAAGAAGGGGGAGTGGAACACAGCCTACCACAGACGCTGGTTCATCCTAAAGGGCAACATTTTACATTTACATTTTAGTCATTTAGTAGACGCTATTATCCAGAGCGATTTACAGTTAGTGAGTGCATACATTTTCATGCTGGCCCCCCGTGGGAAATGAACCCACAACCCTGGGTTGCAAGCGCCATGCTCTACCAACTGAGCTACTTTGAGGAGCATGAGAGCCGGGAACCCATCGACGTCATCGTGTTGGAGGGCTGCACCGTGGAGCTCTGCAAGTCAGCTGAAAAGTTCGCCTTCACCATCAACTTTGACTGCTCCAAGGCGTGTGTCTACAAGATAGCGGCGGAGAACCAGGCAGCCATGGAATCGTGGGTGAAGGCTGTGTCGCGAGCCAGCTTCGACTACATGCGCCTGGTGGTGCGGGAGCTGGAGAGGCAGCTGGAGGAGACCCAGGAGGGGTCTGGAGGGCTGCAGGGCAGGCCCAAGTCCTCCAAAAGGTTGTGGGGGTGGCACGCTCCAAATCAGGAGCATTATCCAGTGCTCCCCTGGTGCCCTCTACACAGGTTACAGGTGCAACTGTCGCACAGGGGGAGACTCATGCCCGCAGCCTTCAGGAGGAGGGGCAACTCCTTTCAGGCGCCTCTAAAGAGAGTAAGCCCTCTGCTCTGATCTATGGGTGCGCTGAGGGCCCCCCCTCTGGTGTGCCGTGGGAGGGGAACGGAAATGGGAACGGAGGGGGCGATGTGGTCAGGCCTCCGCCTGTGCCTCCACTGAGTTTTGCTTCTCCAAACTTCACGACTGGTACGGAAAAGAGGTGGCTGAACTGAGGGTGGAGGGGTTTTAGAGCTAGTGAGGCGCCCCTCCCTCCCACCTCACAGCCCAACTGTTACCCATTAGAAAGGGTACTTGTCACCTTGCACAATTGTTTCATCCCAAAATATATTGATTTTAATGTCAGAGAGTGTGTCCTTGTAATTCCAAACACTGTCTTGGGGCAGTCTGGGTGTCACGATCGTCTACCAATGAGGAAGCGGACCAAAGCGCAGCGTTGCGAGTGAACATGATTTATTAATAAACGTACTCACGAAAACAAAACAAAAGACGATACGTGAAGTTCTCAAGTTACAAAACACTGACATACGGAACATGTAACCAGGAACAAAAACCCACAACCCACAGGAAAACATACAGAATAAATATGGCTCCCAATCAGAGATAACGAGCCGAACAGCTGACACTCGTTACCTCCGATTGGGAGTCATTGAACAAACCTAGAAAAACAACAACCTAGACACCCAACCTAGAACATAAACACATCGACTGCACACACCCTGGATAAACAATAATGAGTCCCAGCACCAGGGTGTGACAGTACCCCCCCCTAAAGGCGCGGACTGCGACCGCGCCTCAAAACCCCCAAACAGGGGAGGGCTGGGCGGGCATACCTCCTCGGTGGCGGTTCTGGCTCCGGCCTAGACCACCACCCCACCATAGTCACTTCCCGCTTATGTAGCCTCCTCCAAATGACCCCCACCGGTTTAAGGGGCAGCACCTGACTAAGGGGCAGTACCGGACTAAGGGGCAGTACCGGACTAAGGGGCAGTACCAGGCTGAATGGCGAATCCTGGCTGGTCGGCTCTGGCGGATCCCGGCTGGACGGCTCTGGCGGATCCCGGCTGGACGGCTCTGGCGGATCCCGGCTGGACGGCTCTGGCGGATCCCGGCTGGACGGCTCTGGCGGATCCCGGCTGGACGGCTCTGGCGGATCCCGGCTGGACGGCTCTGGCGGATCCCGGCTGGACGGCTCTGGCGGATCCCGGCTGGACGGCTCTGGCGGATCCCGGCTGGACGGCTCTGGCGGATCCCGGCTGGACGGCTCTGGCGGATCCCGGCTGGACGGCTCTGGCTGATCCCGGCTGGACGGCTCTGGCTGATCCTGTCTGGCGGAAGGCTCTGGCTGATCCTGTCTGGCGGAAGGCTCTGGCTGATCCTGTCTGGCGGAAGGCTCTGGCTGATCCTGTCTGGCGGAAGGCTCTGGCTGCTCCTGTCTGGCGGAGAGCTCTAGCGGCTCCGGTCTGGCGGACGGCTCTGTAGGCTCATGGCAGACGGGCGGCTTTGCAGGCTCATGGCAGACGGGCAGCTCCTGCGGCGCTTGGCAGACGGACAGTTCAGACGGCGTTGGGCAGACGGGCAGTTCAGGCCCCGTTGGGCAGACGGCAGACTCTGGCCGTCTGAGGCGCATCGTAGGCCTGGTGCGTGGTGCCGGAACAGGAGGTACCGGGCTGAGGATACGCATCTCAGGGCTAGTGCGGGGAGAAGCAACAGGGCATGCAGGACCCTGGGGACGCACATAAGTCCTAGTGCGTGGTGCCGGAACTGGTGGTCCCGGGCTGAGGACACGCATCTCAGGGCTAGTGCGGGGAGCAGCAACAGGACGCACAGGACTCTGGGAACACACAGGAGGCTCGGTGCGTGGTGTAGGCACTGGTGGTACTGGGCTGGAGCGGGGAGGTGGCGCCGGAAATACCGGACCGTGCAGGCGTACTGGCTCCCTTGAGCACTGAGCCTGCCCAACCCTACCTGGTTGTATGCTCCCCGTCGCCCGACCAGTACGGGAAGGAGGAATAACCCGCACCGGGCTATGTGGGCGAACCGGGGAAACCATACGTAGGGCTGGTGCCATGTAAGCCGGCCCGAGGAGACGCATTGGTGGCCTGCTGCGTGGGGCCGGCCTCATGACATCCGGCTCAACACTCAATCTAGCCCGGCCGATACGAGGAGCTGGAATGTACCGCACCGGGCTATGCCTGCGTACAGGAGACACCATGCGCTCTACTGCGTAACATGGTGTCTGCCCGTACTCCCGCTCTCCACGGTCAGTCCAGGGAGTAGGCGCAGGTCTCCTACCTGCCTTCGCCACACTCCCTTTTAGCCCCCCCCCAATAAATTTTTGGGGAGTAACCACGGGCTTCCAGCCTCGACTCCGCGCTGCCTCCTCATACCACCTCCTCTCGGCTGCAGCTGCCTCCAGCTCTTCACGAGGGCGGTGGTACTCCTCTGGTTGTGCCCAAGGACCCTTTCCAGCCCGTATCTCCTCCCATGTCCAAAAGTCCTTAGGAGGCTCCCATAAATCCTGCGTAGGTAGGTCCTGTTGCCGCTTGTTACGCCGCTTGGTCCTCTTGTGGTGGGTTTTTTCTGTCACGATCGTCTACCAATGAGGAAGCGGACCAAAGCGCAGCGTTGCGAGTGAACATGATTTATTAATAAACGTACTCACGAAAACAAAACAAAAGACGATACGTGAAGTTCTCAAGTTACAAAACACTGACATACGGAACATGTAACCAGGAAACAAAAACCCACAACCCCACAGGAAACATACAGATAAAATATGGCTTCCCAATCAAGATAACGAGCCGAACAGCTGACACTCGTTACCTCCGATTGGGAGTCATTGAACAAACCTAGAAAAACAACAACCTAGACACCCAACCTAGAACATAAACACATAGACTGCACACACCCTGGATAAACAATAATGAGTCCCAGCACCAGGGTGTGACACTGGGAAGCTGGCTGGTTTGTTAAAAGCAGCACTTTCCTAGTAGTTTTAGCTGTCATGGGCCAGAGGTAATATGATGTGTTGTCATATGACTTTACTGTTACTTTATTTAATATGAGAGTATGGCATTTTAAAGAAAAGCTTTGTATTTACAAATTTCAATTTTTTTCAATCAGAAACTACAATAGAATCAACTCTTTCATCACTTTTTCTATCATTGTTGTTTTCTTACCATTTTTCTATACACAAAGGATGACCCCTAAATGTTACTGAATTGAGTATATCTGACAGATGATAGAAATCAGTATATCGGTACATACATTGTTGAAAATGTGGATTTTATGATGTTTCACCAGAAGTCTTGAAAGGGGGACCATTGAAGAATGAACACAGGTTCATTATTTCTTTAAACCACAATGATTATACTCATGCAATGGTTTACATATTTTGAAAATGGTTCTTTCTCTTTAACCTGTGCCTTATGATTTTCCTCCCAAACCTGTCATGACGATTCGACACACAACATTGGTCCGTCTAATAATGACAGAGTACTCTCTGCCTTTTGTTTTTGTCAAAGCCACATCTCAGTGCAATTTTGTTAATTTGTGACAATGGCTCAATCCATTTGTCCAGATTTAACGCACAGTATTAACATTAGTCCCTTTTTTTATTTAAATGTGATTACCGATAATGAAATAGCCAGATCTTTTTGCGTTTTCTCTTTCCTGGTCACACCATCCTGGTAGACAACTCTGTTGTGTTACTTGTCATGTAGGACAAGGAACGACAAAAAGATCTGTGACTAAACTAAACTATACTATTTTATTGATTTCTTCTAGAGAAGGATGGACTGTGAGGCTGGAGGTGGAGGTACATATGTGATTGTGACTTACCCTCACTGATGCTGGGTGAAAGATGATCAGTTGTATGTTATTCATTATTATATTATTATTACATTAATATCTCTGACACTAGGAGATCATTTTTGTACTTACTGATTATATACCTAGTTACATTTTCCTTTTTAATTATATGATATTCGGAGTATGTCTAATTTTTGGATGAGACATTGCATGACATTGCATACCTCTATATCCAGAGTGAAGGATGACAACCCAATGCTTCCTTACACTCTTGCAATCTGTTTGTGGCCAACTTCATGTACTGTCTGTGAGATGACGACTTCAGGAGTACTGTTCATTTTAGTACACTACAGCCAGATGACTATCATGTTTCCATGTGGCTAGATGTGTTTTGGTATTATTGAACTACAGTGCCTTCAGAAAGTATTCACACCCCTTGACTTTTTCCACATTTTATTGTGTTACAGACTGAATTAAAATAGATTTTGTGTCACTGATCAACACACAATACCCCATAATGTCAGTGGAATTTTGTTTGTAGAACATTTTAGAAATTAATACAAAATTAAAAGCTGAAATGTCTTGAGTCAATACGTATTCAACCCATTTGTTATGGCAAGCATAAATAAGTTCAGGAATACACATGTGCTCAACAAATCACATCGCATGGACTCATTCCGTGTTTAATAATAGTGGTTAACATGATTTTTGAATAACTACCCCATCTCTGTACCCCACACATACAAATATCTGTAAGGTCCTTCAATCGAGTAGTACATTTCAAGCACAGATTCAACCACAAAGACAAGTTTTTCAATGCCTCGCAAAGAAGGGCACCGATTGGTTGATGTGTACAAATAAAAGAAAGCAGACGCTGAATGTCCCTTTCAGCATGGTGAAGTTATTAATTAGGCTTTGGATGGTGTATGAATACACCCAGTCACTACAAAGATACAGGGGTCCTTCCTGACTCAGTTGCCGGAGAGGAAGGAAACTGCACAGGGATTTCACCATGAAGCCAATCGTGATTTTAAAACCGTTAAAGAGTTTGATGGTTGTGATATGAGAACTGAGGAGGGATCAACAACATTGTAGTTACTCCACAATACTAACCTAAATGACAGAGTGAAAAGAAGGAAGCCTATACAGAATACAAATATTCCAAAATCCTGTTTGCATCCAGGCACTTAAGTAATACTGCAAAAAATGTCCCAAAGAAATGAACTTTTTGTCCTGAAAAAAAAGTGTTATGTTTGGGGCAAATCCAACACAACACATCACTCAGTACCACTCTTCATATTTTCAAATATGGTGGTGGCTGCATCATGTTATGGGTATGCTTGTCATCGGCAAGGACTAGGGAGTTTTTTAGGGGGATAAAAAGGAACGGGATACAGCT